GCTGTACACATGACCCACCCCATAGTCACTTAGTAGTTGTCTTGATTGTATCAGACCAACTATTGCAGTATTACAATACTCATGTTTAAGTAACTCTTATTTTATCTAATAATGGCCCAAAGCACACAAGTAGTGATGCTGGCAATTTGGATATGCCAAAGAGAAGCGTAAAGTGCTTCCTAAGTGAAAAGATGAAAGTTCTTGATTTAAGGAAAAAAATTATATGTTGAAATTGTTAATATGTATAGTAATGAATATTACTATAAAGAAAAATAAACTTGGGCTGGGGTTGTGGCTCAGCAGTAGAGCGCTTGTCTCACACGTGCGGGACCCTGGGTTTGATCCTCAGCACCACATAAAAAAAAAATAAATGAGTGAAATAAAGGTATTGTGTCCAACTATAAAATAAATATTAAAAAAAAGAAAAATAAACTTATGCTAGTTTTGCTGTTGTGCCTCACACTACAAAAGTTATGGCCACAAAATGTGATGATAAGTGCTTAGTTGAGATGAAAAAGGCATTAATTACATTATAGGGTTTGGTACTATCTATGGCTTTAGGTATTCAACAGGGTCTTGGAACACATCCCTATGGATAAATTGGGACTACTGTGTCTATAAATAATATATAATATTATTTTATGTGCTTAAAGGTTTGTTTAAATGAAATGCATGTATTATTTTGCAACTTGTTCTATATCATATGAAATTACGATCTGGAGAATTATCATATTGATTCATGAAGTTTTGGCTCCTTTATTTTATACTGCTCTGTAGGAATGTTCCACTTCGTGAATATACACCATTATTTTTTCTGTTCTATCGTTTATATGCGTTGATATATGTGTTTTCAAATTTTCTGTCCTTCAAGAAATGCTGTATTCAACATTCCTTAATTTTTCTTCTTGTATATTACTGCAGCTTTTCTAAAATATGTATTCATAAGTGGAATTTCTAGGTTAAAGGACAGTCACAGTATCAATTTTGTAAGATATTGACAACTTATTCTCAGAAGTAGTTGTAGCAACTTATATTCCTATTGGTATTGTATAAAAATTCCTGTTTCTCATGGAAATCCAGATATAGCAGAATGAAAATGAACACCTATCTCTTACTCTGCAAAAAACTGAATTCAAAGTGGATCAAAGACCTAGGTAATTAGACCAGAGACCCTGCACCTACCAGAAGAATGAAGGCCCAACTTTCTATCATGTCAGGTTAGGCACTGACTTCCTCAACAAGCTCCTAAAGCATAAGAAGTAAAACCAAGAATCAATACATGGGATGGTATCAAACTAAAAAGCTTCTTCACAACAAAGGAAACAATAAAGAATATGAAGAGAGAGCCTACACAATGGGAGAAAATCTTCACCATCTGCACCTCAGATAGAGTATTCACCTCTAGGATATATAAAGAACTCAAAAATTTTAACCCCCGCAAACCCAAATAACACAGTCAATAAATGGGCAAAGAAACTGTACAGGCACTTCACAGAAGAAGAAATATGAATGGTCAAAAACATATAAAAAATGTTCAACTTCTCTATCAGAGAAATGTACATTAACACTACACTGAGATTCCATCTCACTCCAGTCAGAATGGCAATTGTCAAGAATACAAGTAACAATAAATGTTGGCGAGGATGTAGGGGAAAGGGTTCACTCATACATTGGGACTGCAAATTGGTGCAATTACTCTGCAAAGCAGCATGGAGATTCCTTAGAAAACTTGGAATAGAACTGCTATTTGACCCAGTTATCCCACTCCTTGGTTTATACCCAAAGGACTTAAAATCAGCATTCTACAGTGATGCAGCCACATCAATATTTATAGCATTTCAATTCAAAATAGCTAAGCTTTGGAATTAACAGATGAATGGATAAGAAAATGTGGTATATATACACAATGAAAAGTTACTCAGCCATAAAAAAGAATGACTTCATTACTTTTGATAGTAAATGGATGGATCTGGCGACTATCATGCTAAGTGAAATAAGCCAAACCAAAAACACCAAAGGCCAAATGTTCTCTCTGATGCAGAGAGATCTGTTCTTATGCAGATGGTATCGCACAATAAGGGGGGAAGGGAAGAATAGAAGTTCAGTGGATTAGACAAAGGGGAATGAAGGGAAGGGAGGAGGAATGAGAATAGAAAAGACAGTAGAATGAGTTGGACATAACTTTCCTAGTTCATATATGAATACACAACCAGTGAAACTCCACATTATGTACCCACAGGAATGGGATTGTAATTAGAATAAATTATACTCCATATGTGTATAATATGTCAAAATATACCCTATTATCACATATATTTAACAACAAAAAAGGAAAATTCTTGTTTCTCTAACTTACTTGTTTCTTCAACTTACTTGACTTCTAGACTTTAGAAAATTTGGTGGGTAGGGCATGAGAATTGTTATTTTAGTGTTGCATATTCCCTATCAGTAACAATCATTTTTTTTTCCTCTTCTGTGAATTATACATTCACATTGGCCCATTATGCTCCTCAGTCTTCTTTACTTTTTTACATTATTTATTTATTTTTTTGCATTACAATTCTTAATACACCATTATACCATAATTTATCATATCTCTGATTATATATAAGGTATGTTGACACCAAATTTACATCACCATATCCTAGTTTTCTTAATGAGATACTCATTCTGTATGTTAATATTTGTTGGTGATATGCATTACAAGTTCTTAACTTCCTATTTAGTTTATGGTGTTTTTTATCTGACTAATATGGTCAAAGACCTTTTTCCCAATTCTTGAAAGTTAGGTTCTTCACATTTAATCCTTTCAACTAACAGGGAATTATTTTTGTGCTTGTGTGTGAATTAAGTAAATATTTTTCATATGATAACAAATTATTGAAGAATCAATGAATACTTATCATGAATGGGTCTTGGATCTTGTCAATGCACTTTCTGCATCTATTAATATGATCATGTAATTTTTCTTCTTTTGCCTATTGATGTGATAGATTACTTAATCAATTTGTGTGTGTCCACATGCATTTGTGTGTGAACCCAGTGTAGGGGGGTACTGGGTGACTGAACTCAGTGGGGTTCTACTGCTGAGCTGTATCCTCAGACCCTTTTTATTTTTTATTTTGAGACAGGGCCTTGCTAAGTTGTCCAGGCTGGCAATTCCCAGTACTGCAAAAGCAAACAAAGAAACACCCCCCCCACTCCCAATATTTACTGAGTGTCTATTCAATGCCAAACTCTGGTATGCTGTCTTTCTCCTCTTCTTCCAAGTTCAGCCATTCTGACAGAGATAATGGCTCCCCATCACACACTGCATAAATATCAATGGAAACTATGTTTCCTGTCTTTTCTTCCCTGTCATTAAAGTTTTGGTTCCTCCCTCTTCTCTCAGATTTTCCAAAAAGTAGAGCTAGTAGAGGACATATGGTTGAAAAGAATACTGTACATATAATTTGAAATTAATAACTTGAAAGAGTGTTAGATATACTGCAGAAATTTGGTACTTGAAATAAATTAAGCCCTTAAAAGGACTTTGGGATTTGTTCTTGGATACACACACTTTATAAATAGGTGCCAAAGTCAATTTCCACTGACTTTTGTAAGTTAGAAAGTCATCAAAGTGCACATATTACTCTGGTACCTAAGACTTAATCTTTTCATATGTAAAATAAAAGTTTAGCATGTGGTAATTTCTTAGGTTCTTTCAGCCTTTTAAATTCCATATAGTTTATATGTTAAGATACTGACTGTGATATTATGTAGTGGAGGCTGAATAATTCTTTTATTGAAGATCTTTAAGAAAAGGTATATTCTTTCTCCATATTTCAGTTAAATGTGTGTCTGCCTAAATGTGGGGAAAGGAAGGGTAAATCATAAATACAGGAAACTAAGTGTGCACTTGGAGCTAAACTGTTAGGGAAAATCACAGGAAATAAAGACAAAAGAATTTACCACAAAAGACATTTAAATGAGCCCTGTAAGAAACATGCCATTAGGAAGATATTTTGCTGGGAAGGAGAAATCAGAAATTATATATTTCTTATTCTTTCAGGGCTCAGGAATTAGATAGAAAGCAGAAAATGTAAAACAAAAATACCAACCCAGAACACAACACTTTTTATGGTAGAAAACCTGGAAGTGAACTGAGCAACAGGACAAGGGGAGCATGTGCATTCATCTGGATCTATTTGTACCTCTGGGCAAGACAATCAAGGCCTCTGAATACCCTCTGCATTCCAGATGCCTGATGGAAAGACCCCTGTGACAGGAAGAAAAAGGTGCTTTTGAGTGAGAAAGTGATCTAAGTACTAGAAAGAAAGCAGCTGTTTTTTTTTCTGGAGGCTCTGGTGTTCTGAAAAACCCCACAAAGTTCCTCCAGAGTCTAGAAAAGCTCTACTGCAACCATTGAAAGCCTATTCTACCTACATTGAGGCTGATTTCCACCACCAATCTCTACTCCCTTCCTGGAATCCAGCAATAAAGCTGGGAGAGTAAACTACCAACCAATCTGCTTCCAGGAGGTACTTCTACCAGTGTTAAAAAAGCCATCAACACTCAAAGAAGGTGACGAAATCCAGCAGATTAAATGGCCCTGACCTATTCAATAAATGCATCTATTTAGTTTTGTTTTCTAGGTATAGGAATTACTATGTGGTTGAATTTATGCATTTAGTTTTTTGAACATTTCTCTCTGCCCTTCCTCTCACTCATAATTCCTTTCTTCTTTTTAACCTACACTACAAAGAGAATTTAAATACATGGAAAAGCCTCCAAACTCCAATGATAGAGTATAAATAGAAGTTAAATAATGGATGTTTAAAAGATCATTTGTTAGAATTAGAAATAGTCGACAGGAAGTAATTTGAAATAATAGTTGTGTGGACATGTATAAAAGATTTAGGTCCAAGTTGCTGGGGGAAGTATCTCTTAATAAAGTTAACATGACTATACAGGGCCATATATAACAGCTGGTTTTTCTTTCTTTTCTTTTTTTTTTGCAGGGGCTGTGGATTGGGGATCAAACCCTGGGCCTTGCAACTACTAGGGAAGTGCTCTATCTGTGAGTTATACTCCCAAATCAACAGCTACATTTTTATCTTATTTTTCTTTCTTCTCTGTAATCTGTGTCTCTATGTCTATTTTGCTAGTGACTTATTGGAAGGATTTTTTTTTTTTGTACTAGCACTTAACCCAGGGCACTTAATCGCTGAGCCATATCCCTAACCCTTTTAAAAATATTTATAGACAAGGTCTCACTAAGTTGCTTTGGCCTTGCTAAGTTGCTGAGGCTGGCTTTGAACTAGCAATCCTCCTGCCTCAGCCTACTGAGCTGCCGGAATTTCAAGCATATGCCACTGTTCCTGGAGGAAAGGACTTTTATGTGTCTCTTTTCTTCTTTACTTTTACTAGAATTTTTGATACTTTCATAACCTTAGATGTAAAAGAATAGCATTCCTGACTCTTTGCTCCCACCAATGTGTCCTGTACACTTTTTCTATACAAATATTTGTTAAATGCTGCTTTTAGGATATTGCCAAGAACACACAATGGTTCTTCATATCCTCTACAGCTTTCAAGGCATTCTACAAATCATCCCTATCTCAGTTATTTTCCCCAGTACCAACTTTCCCTCAGTCAGGTTGGTTTCTGGACTGTTTCCTGTATGCCAGCATTTATGTCTCCTTACGTGTTTTCTCTATCAAGAGGATCTTCATCTTTCAATGGCTTTATAGTAATTTTGCCACACTTCAAAGTTGGCCAGGTCCTAGCACCTTCCTTATTTTAGACCTAATTGACCTTTCCTTGCTAAGCTATAATCATCACCTATTCCACACAATTTTATACTTCATAATGTATGATTGCCTCATATCTACTCACATTTTCTGTTCTACTATACTGTAAGATCACAAAGGGTAGAAAAGATAGCACAATATATAAAGAAAGACACTGATGATATTCATAGTTCAATGTTCATTAAAGTAAATGTCAATCAGAAATCTGCTATTAGATCTTGGTTTATTCTGCTGTGGAGAAACAGACATATGAGAGGAAGGGTTAACAATAATAACTATTACAGTCAGGGAATACACTACAGAAATCTTCTATTGAAGAAAAAGATAAATTATATTCAGCTGCTTATCTCTAAAAGGAATTATAATCAACAATTGTAAAATATCCTGTTTTACATATTATTAAAAAGCTCTTTTTTTGATGTAGTCCAAATATAATTTCAAAATGCTTTGTCTTATAGAAAAGTTGTTTGGCACCAAATATTAAACAGGCTTTCATGGCTTGATACTAACTGATCTTTCAACTTTACTTTTCATTACCTGGTTCTGAGGTTACTTACAAAAATTACTAATAAACACTGAATAAGGGAATTACTGTTGTTACATACTCTGGAGCATTCAGCAAAGAGCAGCTTAATTTAATTTAGAGCATCTGTCCTTGTGACATGTTATTTGGGATCCTGTTTAAAACAACTGCTGCTTTTCTCTGACCACAGTAACTTACTAGTGATGACCCATTTCTCAAGAATGGTATGTTACCTCTCAAAGTACCTCAGTTGTAGCTGTCTGGAAGATGACTACCTATCATCTTGAGATAACCCTAGGTTACCCAACATGAATCTTATGAAAATAATATGAGTATAAAAATTACTATATATATATTATATATACCATAAAATTTCATCTAGTCCTATTCCCTCAGTTTCATAACAAAAATTTGCCTTTTCAAATATAAAAATAAACCTATTTCCCTCATTTCCCCTCTACACATTTCTTGGCTTATTCCTTACTTCTATTTTCTGTGTTCCCTGTGATGGGGATCATTCTTGAAAACTCTTTAAACTATTTACTTACATGAAACCCTTCCTAATACCCTCTTCCCCAGTTTTCTTACTTTCTTATGCCATACCATCTTTTGCTTGTTACCTATATTAAAAACACAAGGATTGTCTGCTTGCATTAGAGGTAGCACTTGTGCTGTCTCTCTTCCCTATTTGACTGCAAGCTCCTTAGCGGAGAAAATTATATTTAGCTTTCTCTTTCTAAGCTCATCTGTTCAATCAAGGCTTGCAAAACCCACCAACCACTCCCTCCCCACCACTTCCCAAACACACGGTTGAGTTAAAAAGAACAGCACATGTATTTTAAAATGTGAAAATGAAATATGTTTCCCCAATTTACTAAAAGTACAAATAAGAGACTACCTGCAATTGTCAACTTCAAACTCTATTTTCCTATTTCACATCTTTGGCAGTACAGAAGCTATTTAAACCAAATCAACTCTCTAATATTTTATTCAACTCTAGTATGACTAACAATTCAATATTATTTGTATCTGTTTATGGATAACTTGCCTCTGTTATTAAGGCATCATAACACTAAATGCACCTAAATGATTTAGGATAAAGCATACACCAAACTGTTTTGCTGAAATCAACTTATGCAGTCAAACAGTTATTGCATACTATTAAACAGTTGGCACATTTCACATCTTTGGCATGTAAAAGTCAATTGGGTTTAGACTTATGTTGTTTAAATGATGCCAATGTGTACTTCTCACCTTCTTAAATATATCAAAATTCCTCAGGATGCCAAACAAAATCTATCCTCTGGGACTAAAATGTGCCAACAGTTTAATGGTACATGGAGACATTACTGGAAAAACTTGAGAGGGGGAAAAAGACCTTTTTTCCAGTAACAGATACAGGTCTCACAAATGAAAATGAATTGCAGTTCTGGAAATTATCTGATGAATTTTAGGATAGAAAGCCAAATCAGATAATTCAGTACAAATTTTAGAATGATGGTTACAAAATTTTTTTCAACTGCATAGCTCCTGGGTATAACACTGGCTTTCTTAAAGCTTCTTTTGGCAACCAGTTTTGCTGTTTTGAAGGTTCAGAGTAAATTATGTCAATGAATTGGGAAAGAAAAAAAAATTTCATTTTCATTTTCAGACTTGGGATGAGGGGTAATAATGACTAAGCAAATAGGAACTCTGAGCAAATGTTCAGATAAACACATTCTGTGGATTTGCTAGCAGTCTGGAAAGTATGTATTTGTTTTGTGTAGAGAGGGTAGTGGGTATAGCATGTGATAAATATAACCCAAGATGTTAGTAGGTAAACGTGGTATTTGAATATTACTAGTTATTAAAATTTTAAATTTGTTCTTTAAAAACTCATATAGGTTTCACAATTTTAAAATAGTGGTAATAAAGCATAAATTTTAATGAGATTCTGTAAATTAATCTTATTAGTAAAATTTAAAAATGTTTATATAAATAATACTAGAAGAATCTAGTAAGTGAAAACCTAGTAAGTGTAAATTACTAGATCCTTATAGTATTATTTATACTTACAATAGTTTCCCACTGTTTATAACCTTAAATACTAATAAGAAAGATCAGAAGTATTGTGAACATATTGTATGTGTTGAGAAAACAAATTCTATAATGTGTCTACCATGGATGGTAAAAATCAAACCTGAAATACCCCTAAAATAGGACAAATTACAAATAAAGTGCTATAAATAATTCCATGGTGAAGAAAAAAAATAAATTCCTGTGATATCTGTAATAAATAGTAATTTCACATTTTTGAAAATAAACATATAAGCAGATAGTGAAAGCTGCATTTCAACATAGTATAGTTGTGCATATTTTCCATAAATCATTAGGCCTAGAGAATTTTTACTATCTCATTATATTTTAATTAGTGTTGCCTTTTTCAATACAAACTTGTCTCAACCTAACATTCTTAATTTGTTATGAAGATGTTGGCATATAAGATCAAAACAATTAAATACTTAAGAAAATTTTGGTAAAAGCACATACTATAAGATCGACCTTCTTGATTAATTTTTAAGTGTACGGTATTGTTAATTATAAGAATAATGTTTTCCACAAATCTCTAGAAGTCTTTAATTTTCAGGACTGAAACTCTATTTATAAAACAGCAATTTCTCATTTTCCCTCCTCTCAGTTCCTGGCAAGCATCATTCTACTTTTTGCACTGGTGAGTGTATTTTTGATATTCATATGAGCAGAATCATGCAATATTGTGTTTCTGTGGCTAAATGTTTCATCTAGCATGATGTACTCAAGGTTCATCCATGTTGTAGCATACAGTAGGCTTTCCTTCTTTTTATTTATTTATTTAATTTAAATATTTTTTGGTTATAGATAGAAACAATACCTTTATTTATTCATCTTTATGTGGTGGTGAAAACCGAACCCAGTGCCTCACCCATGCTAGGTGAGTGCTCTACCACTGAGCCACAACCCCAGCCCAGGCTTTCCTTCTTTTTAAAGGCTGAATAATATTCTCATGTATGTCTATAATACATTTCTTTATTCATTCATCTGTTGATAGCCATTCAGATTGCTTCTTTTTCTTGGTTATCATGAATAATGCTGCAATGAACATGTTAGTGCATGTATCTCCTTGAGATTCTGTTTTCAATTCTCTTCTTTTGGAAAAATACTCCTAGAAGTAGAATTATTAAATCACACGAAAGCTCTATTTTTAATTTTTGAGGTACTTCCATACTCTTTTCCACAGTGGCTGAATATTTTCACTCATTTTACATTACTTTAAGAATGTATGGGAACAGAGGGAGGGAAGATGGCGGCGAGGGGAGTGCATTACCCCCGTGTGCTGCTTCACTGTGTGGGAGTATGACAAGTCAGGACGGCTAAAGGATATCTTGTTAGGAATTTCCAGCAATAGTGGGGTGCGCCGGAACCTGGAGGAAGGATTTCCATCGCATGAGGATCGGCTACGGGGACTCAAACGCGAGAGGTTTGTCGCACGGAGGGTAACACTGCTTATTCAGCAAATCGCCCCGCGGCTAGAGTCTGCAAGGCGCGCTGGGATAGAGACGCAGGGTTACAGCGCTGCAGTTTCTGCCAGACGCGCAAGCACCGCACTCAGGGCTGAATTCTGGGTTCGAGACGGGGGAAGGAAGCGGTCCATCTCGGTTCTCCACACCGGTCAGACCACAGAGGAGGCCAGCAGCCACCATGTTGGTAAACTGACGTCACCACACCTGTTTTTGACTGACCGCAGCTCATTCAGCCATAGAAAAGGTAATTTCAGGCTGCAATTCGCCTGCGGCTTGCAGACAGATTGCTAGGGTTCAGCGCCTGGGGGCTTCTTAAAATCTGATCTTATCGGAGTGAACACGGAGCGCGGGGCGGCCGAGTTCCGGCTCCCGGAACCGTCCCGGAACCGCCCTGGCTCCGGGCTGCGGAGCCTGCCGAGGCTGCTTCTTGGACCCTGCTAATATCAGAGCAAACACGAAGCACCAAGAAGCCGAATTCCAGCTCCCGGAACTGAGCCCGCGGGGACTGCTTCTTGGAGCTTACACTTATAGGAGCTTACACCGAGCACAGAGCGGCCGAGTTCCGGCTCCCGGAACCGTCCCGGAACCGCCTTGGCTCAGGGCTGCGGAGCCCGCGGAGGCTGCTTCTTGGACCCTGCTACTATCAGAGCATACACCAAGCACTAAGCGGCCGAATTCCGGCTCCCGGAACTGAGCCCGCGGGGGCTGCTTCTTGGAGCTTACACTTATAGGAGCTTACACCGAGCACGGAGCGGCCGAGTTCCGGCTCCCGGAACTTCCCTGGACCGGGGCTAGGAGCCCGCGGAAACTGTGTCTCGGTCCGGGTCCTGCTGAGGGCAGGTCAGGACTCACCCATTGCTTGGGTTGCCCGGCAAGGGGAACGAAATGCTGCCATTCGCATAGGATACCAACATGGCAGAGATCTGATGTCAGCAGAAAGCGGTGGAGGAGAGATCTTCATCAATACCAGCGGTGACATAAGCAGTTGGTCTCCTGGTAAGGGGGGTGAGGCTCAGTCACCCGAGTCTCCTCAATTTGTCCTCGAGCCCGAGGGAAGGAGCCGGGCCGCCGCCAGCCCCCGGAGCAGGCCCAGCGGCTCGCCAGCGTGGTGACCGCGTGACCCCAATTGGAGAGGGGGCGGAGCGGAGCCGCCACCCACACCCGCCAGGTGGGCAGACCCACGACCCAGTAGTACATGGGCGTGGTAGGAGGGGCAGGGCAGAGCCGCCATTCGCGCTTGCAAGGTAAACAGACCTGTGACAGCCTGGCGGGTCAGGCCCAGTGGCCTGCCAGTGTGGTACACACGTCACCCCAACTCGAGTAGGGGCAGAGCAGATCCTTATCCCACGCCCGGATCAGGCCCTGCCGGTGTGGTGGTCACGTGACCCCAATTGGAGTGGGGGTGGAGCGGAACCGCCACCCGTGCCCGCAGGGTGAGCAGACCAGTGATCAACCTGCAGATCAGGCCCAGGGGTCCGCAGGCGTGGTAGGAGGGGCAGGGCAGATCCGCCGCCCGCGCCTTCAAGGTAGGCAGACCTACAACAGACCGGCGGATCAGGCCCAGGAGCCTGCCGGCGGGGTACAAACACCACCCTAATTGGAGTAGTGACAGAGCAGAGTCGCCTCCCTTGCCAGGAACAGACCCAGCATCCTGCAGGCGGGGTAGTCACGACACCCCAATTGGAGTAGGGGCAAAGCAGAGCCTCCACTCGTGCCCGAAAGGTGGGCAGATCTGCGACCGACCAGCAGGACAGGCCCAGTGGCCTGCTGGTACGACAGACACGTCACCCCAATTGGAGTAGGGGCAGAACAGAGCCGCCACCAGCTCCCAGAACAGGCCCAGTGACCTGCCGGCGTGGTAGCCACGACACCCCAACTGGAATAAGGAGAGAGCAGAGCCGCCGCCCGCGCCTGCAGGAAAGATACGCAAGCAGTATGAAAAGACAAGGAAAGAAAGGACCACAAGCAATGCAGGTCAACGCAACTTTAGAAGAGGTAACAGCTGCAGCAGATGGAATGTCAGATAAAGAATTCAGGATATACATGCTTCAGATGATCTGGAGTATCAAGGAAGACATTAAACAGCAAAATCAGACAATGAAAGATCACTTCGACAACGAATTACGCAAACAAATCCAGGAAGCAAAGGATCAACTATACAGGGAGATAGAGGTTATAAAAAACAAGCAATCAGAAATCCTAGAAATGCAGGAAGCAATAAACCAACTTAAAAACTCAATGGAGAATACTACCAACAGAGTAGAACACTTAGAAGATAGAACATCAGACAATGAAGACAAAGTATTTCAACTGGAAAAGAACATAGACAGCTCAGCAAGACTGTTAAGAAACCATGAGCAGAACATCCAAGAAATATGGGATAACATTAAGAGACCAAACTTAAGAGTCATTGGGATACAGGAAGGTACAGAGCTCCAAACCAAAGGAATGAGCAGTCTATTCAATGAAATAATACAAGAAAACTTCCCAGACTTGAAGAATGAGACAGAATCCCAAATCCTAGAAGCCTACAGGACGCCGAATGTGCAAAATCATAAGAGATCCACACCTAGACACATTATAATGAAGATGCCCAACATACAGAATAAGGAGAGAATTTTAAAAGCTACAAGAGAAAGGAAGCAGATTACATTTAGGGGCAAGCCAATCAGGATAACAGCTGATCTTTCAACACAGACTCTGAAAGCTAGAAGATCCTGGAATAACATATTTCAAACACTGAAAGATAATGGGTTCCAACCAAGAATTGTGTATCCAGCGAAATTAAGCTTCAGGATGGAGAATGAAATTAAAACCTTCCACGATAAACAAAAGTTTAAAGAATTCGCAGCTAGAAAACCATCTCTTCAAAACATCCTAGCCAAAGTATTACAGGAAGAGGAAATGGAAAATAACAATGAAAACCAACAGTGGGAGGTAGGACAGTAAAGGGGGGGGGGAAACAATCAAAGAGGAAAACAAACAATGTTTAGTAACAGAAATAAACAAATATGGCTGGAAGAACAACCCATATCTCAATAATAACCCTAAATGTTAATGGCTTAAACTCACCAATTAAGAGACACAGGCTAGTAGAATGGATCACAAAACAAGACCCAACAATATGCTGCCTACAGGAGACGCATTTGATAGGAAAAGACATACATAGGCTGAAGGTGAAAGGTTGGGAAAAATCATATCACTCATATGGACTTCGGAAACAAGCAGGCGTGTCCATACTCATATCAAATAAAATAGATTTCAAGCCAAAGTTAATCAAAAGAGATAAAGAGGGACACTACATACTGCTTAAGGGAACCATACACCAACAAGACATAACAATCATAAATATTTATGCCCCAAACAATGGTGCAGCTATGTTCGTCAAACAAACTCTTCTCAAGTTCAAGAGTCTAATAGACCACCACACCATAATCATGGGAGACTTCAACACACCTCTCTCGCCACTGGACAGATCTTCCAAACAAAAGTTGAATAAGGAAACTATAGAACTCAATAACACTATTAATAACCTAGACCTAATTGACATATATAGAGTATACCACCCAACATCAAGCAGTTACACTTTTTTCTCAGCAGCACATGGATCCTTCTCAAAAATAGATCATATATTATGTCACAGGGCAACTCTTAGACAATATAAAGGAGTAGAGATATTACCATGCATCTTATCTGATCATAATGGAATGAAACTGAAAATCAACGATAAAAGAAGGAAGGAAAAAGCATACATCAATTGGAGAATGAACAATAGGTTACTGAATGATCAATGGGTTATAGAAGACATCAAGGAGGAAATTAAAAAATTCTTAGAGATAAATGAAAACACAGACACAACATATCGGAATCTATGGGACACATTGAAAGCAGTTCTAAGAGGAAAATTCATTGCTTGGAGTTCATTCCTTAAAAAAAGAAAAAACCAACAAATAAATGATCTCATACTTCATCTCAAAATCCTTGAAAAAGAAGAGCAAAACAACAGCAAAAGAAGTAGAAGGCAAGAAATAATGAAAATCAGAGCTGAAATTAATGAAATCGAAACAAAAGAAACAATTGAAAAAATTGACAAAACTAAAAGTTGGTTCTTTGAAAAAATAAACAAAATCGACAGACCCTTAGCGATGCTAGTGAAGAGAAGAAGAGAGAG